TTTAAAATATATTTGCACCAGTGACCTTTCCTCAAGTGAAGCCCAAGTTTCTCAGGAGGCCTCTGAAACGCTGGTAGTAATCTTGTGATAGTTTTCAAGTGCTTTGTGTGTGTGTGTGTGTGTGATTTTTGAAGATTACAAGAAAAGGATAAAGGTCCCTGGGCATGCAGTGTGTGTTCAGCTGGTCACCAAAAGGTTGGTAGTTCGAACCCACCCAGAGGCACCATGGAAGAAACAAGTCTGGTGATCAGTTTCTGTAAAGATTACAGAACAAAAATAAAAAAAACCTTATGGAGCAGTTCTACTCCATAACACCTGAGTCTCCTAAGTCACAAATCAATAATAAAAACAAAATCAACAAGAAAAGAAAAGGCAAATGAAGAACAGTGGGCCCCATGTGTAAACACACACTGGGTAAGAGGCAGCTTCCATGTGTAATTGTGTGTGACAGTCACACCACAAGGGCAAGCTCAGGAGCAAGCCAGAGCTGTGTAAGGACTGGGGAGGGTTTTCTAAGCTGAAAAGGCTGCCAGCCTGCAGCTATTTCTAATCTATACCAACAGATGTTGGTTCAGGTGAAAAGAACATTAGCTAGAGTGTCTCAAAGACAGGCCTGCAGGGTCAGCCAGAGAGAAAGGAAATAGGGGAGAGAAGAAGAAAAGACGGGAAATGGGAGGATAGGTGAAGGGGAGGATAGAGTAAGGCACCAGCACAGGTATCCCAGCCTGCCCCCGGAGCCTCTCCTACTTATGTTGAACTCAGGATGCCATCCAATCTTACCTGTCACAGGGCCTTTGGTTTTATATGTACAAGTAAGGAAGTAATCAACTGATTTCATTATCTTAAAGAAATGAGTTCCCTAGCCTAAAGGTCTTTTAAAAACACCCCAAAGGGCTATAATTCCTGTTGTACTCTGCTACCCATCATATGTGCCACCACCTTTAATCTTTCTGGTGCCTCTGAGAGGTGAGGACTGGGGTCTTTACCCAAGTCAAAAGGATAAGGTCTGTTTTTAGTGTTTTGAGGATGTCCTTGTGATGAAGACAATGTAAATCTCAGAGAGAATG